TTTTATTTAGCTCAGTCATGTTTCGTTGATAAAAATGACAATAGTATGAATCCCCCCCACATAGTAGAATTAACACTCCAATAGGTTTTTCGAATTGGAACTGAAAAGATAATTTTTTCCCTCACATACAATTAGTATACAAACAAACATAATTTATTTTATATGTTTAATTTAATATCATCACACTAATAATTGTATTATTCAATCCTATCCTACATATAATTTGAGTCAATCTAATCCCACAATCAAACATGGTAGAGGGTGACATTACTAAACCTCACTATTTGAGAAAATTGACAATAGTTATACTACCAATTGCATTCTCTTTTTCTTTTCTTTTTTGCTTTACCCTTTTTTTTTTTTGGGTGAGGAAATTGCATTCATTTAAAATCACTCAAGGCCTTCTCCCTCTTTTTTCCACCTTTTTTGCGGGTAAAACTAAGAACCTAATATGAAGGAAAAAAAAAATAGCTTACAATGAATGTATCCTAAAAGCATAATAATATATAACAACAAATAAATAATTAAATTACAGGATTTGAATCTGAATAGCAGCTAGTTCGACTAAAAACTGTTGCCTTCTTTCTTCAGAGTAAACTGCTGTCACCTCTCTTCGAAGTTGAACCTGTTCCAAGCAGCCTGTGGATGAAAGAAGCAGAAAGTTGAAGACAGTATGCGAAAAAAATTCCCATCCAACCGTCAATAAAATGAACTTAGATATAAATCCCTTGTGTAATGAACGAACCTCCATGCATTGTGTTATGTTTGTGACTTTTCTCTACTAAATCTTCACACCATATCTAGATTACAAAAGTGATCACTGTTAACTAATATATGCTAGAAAAGGACATCGTGTACCCACCTTTAGAAGATCAAAAACCTTCTCACATATATACTTCTGCTGAATGCTTGCGCCCCGCTGCTGCAACTTATCAGGATGAACATGAAGAGTGGCTTTCCTGTAAGCTTTCTTTACAGCACTGGTTGTAACAATCTCAGTTAGGGAAATAGGTTGCCAACTGCTATCTGGCCCAAGGATCTGCATGCAGAAAATTCAGTTAACACCACTGCTGGCAGTACACGAGTTATTTCCGATTGAAGATGACTAGGTCAGAAGAACTACAAAACCACACCCACCAAAAGACAAAAAGTAAAAAGCAGAATGATAACTAGTTCTAAAAATGCAAGTAGAAAACTCAATACAAATTAGGGCAAACTTCGCTTTATCCCTTATGGTTTACTCCATGGGCAGTTTGGCCCCCTATCATTTGGAAATAAGCACATAATCGTTGTATTTTGTAGACTAAAATGCACTGTCATACATTTCGTCCAAGTAAACAACAAGTGAAAAACACACACCTGGATATAATGGATTATCTGCTTATATCCAAATGTCAGGGGTAAATCATACGTGGAGTAAAGCACAAATGGGTTAACTGCATTTTGAGTCACGAAAATGGTCGTGGTTTACACAATGAGGTTAGTTGTGTACAAAGGCATTTTAGTCTTTTTCTGAAGCCCTTAGTGATGCAGAGAGTGCACTTTATTCCACAAACCATGGGAGGTCATATGCTTATTTCCAAATGTCAAGATGTAAACCATACATGGAGTAAAGCATAGGGGAGGTAAAGTGAAATTTGCCCTCCAAATTATGGCCTTCATATGGGGAGGGGAGGGACGGATGGATTACAAACAGAAAGAACACTGTTTGCATAATCCCCTGGTTGGGCAATATGCCTTCAGTGAGAAGGCAGATACTTATGGTGTTGTGTTCGGTGTAGTTATAAAATCTATTTCTGAAGGTGATTTACACATTGAGAACAGTTCAAAGCAGCAAACTCAGTGGTAAAGACAATAAAAATTTAAGCAGTATAGATGCCTGCACGTACATATTGTAGTGTTGAAAGCAGTGCGCGCAAGTTCCCTTCCTTTCCACTTGACCATCTCTTAACTTCAGCATCCAGAGTTTCTGCCAATTTCTGCAATTAAAAATAGATGGAGCACAGTAAGGGAAATATGCATGCATTACTGATTACTTCAGAATCTCTAGAAAACTAGTTGAATTGATAATTACATTTTTCTCAGCTTGCTCTTTCTGAGCAAGAAGATCGCGTTTATTCTTTTCTGCAAGAGCTTTTGCCTGAAAAAAGACCAGGGGAAAAGCATGAAACATTCGTCTTACAAGTCAACTTAACTTTTTTTTTTTTTTCTTTTTTTTTTGTTGATGAATCTCACAAGTCAACAAAGTTGTTTCTGATATAAACAGAAGTAAATTGCATACCGCGCGTTCCATGGTCCTTTGGTGCCTCTCTAACCTTGCCTTGTTTCTCTGAGCTGATTCGCCAATAATTCCATCAAATTTCTGTGTATCCTGCAGAAAATTGAGGCTATCATTCAATTGGCATGCAATTGAAGAAGGGTTTCTTTGTGGATGATGCACAAAACACTCAAACATAATAAATGACAATGACACTCACAGAAGAAGGAAAACTCTGCCTCATTCCATTATCTCTGGAATCACTAGAAAACTTCTCAGAAACATATCTCTCCGCCTGTTCTCTTACCCCAGAGGTAGTAGCCTTCTGTGATAATGCTTTCTCTAGGGCACGCTCCCGAGCTTCTGCAGTTGCTCTCTCTACTGCAGCACGTTCTGCTTTAAGTTTGGCTTTTATGGAAGCTTTCTCAGCGGATGATTTAGCTGCAGCAGATGACTTCTCAAACCTTTCTCGGGCATCAGCCATTACTCTTTGTCGAGCTTCGGCAGTTGCTCTCTCTACAGCAGCCCTTTCTGCCCTCTCTCGGGCTTCAGCAAATGCCCTCTCACGAGCTTCACGTATTGCTCTTTCAACAACCCTTTTATCTTTTTCTCGCTCTCTTTCCCTCTTGTTTGCTTCGTCATTTTTGCTGAGGTTTTCTTTTTCTGCCTTCACTTCTTCTTGCGCAGTTTCTTTGGCTTCCTTCTCTTCAACTGCAAAGGTTTTATTAAGATTCTCCTCATTCTTCTCAAAACTTTGGCTTGTCTCAATCTCTTCATCTATTCCTATCATTTTCCCCTCCCCTTTGAACACACTATGTGGTTGGGATGCTTCTATTTTCTCCTCCATTTCAACCCATTGTCTTTCCTCATCAGCTGAATCAAAACTCTCGACTTCTTCAAGATCAGAGGCAATTTTGTCCTCCTCGAATTTTTTCTCACCTGTTCCTGATTCACACTCTGATATATTAATACCACTTCCCAGATTGGAGTCTAATTCAGCTTCCTTCTCATTTTGGTATGTTTGTTTAGGTCCAGAATTAGGGGCAGTTGAACCGATGTTTTCTGAATTGTCATCAAAAAGAAGGGCCTCGGTGGCATATTTCATCTCAGTGTCAATCTCAATGTGTTCAGCAGCATCTTCAACTAAGTCACCCAATTTACAAATCTCTTTTTCCCCCAACTCATGTGCCACTTCAACTGCTCCAAACCCATTCTCATCCTCTTTGTAATCACAGGAAGATTGAGTGACATCTGATATCCTCTCATTCTCTTCAAAATTCAAATCATCGTCATTTTTGTCATGTATATGGGCCTCTTGACTCTTACTCACACTCTCATCAGCATCCTGCTTGCAAGCATCTCTAGTTGCATCAAGATTCATGGTCTCCAAAACAGCCTCCGGATTTAATTCTGTCGCTGCATTACCTTTAGTTTCCCTCTTCATGTTCTCTGTTTCTTCATATTCACAAGCCTCTACCAGTATTTTCTCCTTAGCCACCCAATCACTGTCATCTTCTTGTTTCTCCTCACTTTCATCTCCAGAAGGACCGTCACTTACTCTGTTGTAATTAATATGCAAACTCTTCTCATTATCCTCTTCCTTGTGGGCATCATTTTGTCCCTTCTCATTGCTTTCCACCTCACAGCCTTCCTCATTATCTACCCATTCACAAGCTTCTTGTAGTCTCTTCGCAATTTCCTCTTGTTCACTAATCTTTTGTAGCATGTTTACGCTTTCTTCCTCATCCTGAACATCTTTCAACAACTTATTTTGTTCTTTTTGAAAAACCTCTTCTTGTTTCTTCTCATTTTCTAGGCTCTCCTGGGCATCATCAAGTCCCTCCTCATCACTATTTGCCTTCCCCTCCTCTGACTCAAAAAACTCCTCATTTTCGCTTTCCTCCAGAGACTCTTCCAGTTTCTTCTCATATGTTTCCTGTCCAGAGGAAGCTTTTTGCTTCTCCTCAGTTTCTTCATCCCCTTGGGCAACTCTTGCTTTCTCATTTTCTTCCTGCTCATGAACCTCTTGAGCAGTATCTAACTTATAAATAGGTTGTTTCAAATCTCGTGCCATTTTAACTGCATTTAGTTTCCCTTCAAAATCCTCCAGTTTCGGAGCTTCTTCATCCACTTTCTTGCCATATCCATCTAGTTGTTCCAAGATTTCTTTCTCTGTTTCCATCTCCTTCCTTCCACATTTATGTGTATCTACAGATGGCATAATGTTGTTTATTCCATCTTCACACTCACCCATTAAGGTTTCAGTTCTGCACTCACCTTGGTTTGCCACTTCAGAAAATTGTCTGCGTGCTTCACAATCTTTAGCTGATTCCAATTTGTTCCCATTTGTTTCTCCACCGACCTCTTTAACATTAAAGATTTCCTTGTTCTCTTTAAAGTCAGGAGCTACTTTGCCACTTCTCAGTGCTTCACAATCTTCAGCTGATTCTAATTTGTTCCCATTTGTTTCTCCACCAACCTCTTTAACAATGAAGATTTCCTCACTCTCTTTGAATTCAGGAGCTACTTTGCCACTTCTCAGTGCTTCACAATCTTCAGCCGATTCCAATTTGTTCCCTTTCGTTTCTCCACCAACCTCTTTAACAATGAAGATTTCCTCACTCTCTTTGAAGTCAGGAGCTACTTTGCCACTTCTCCGTGCTTTTTCCCTTTCTGACTTAGTGAAAACTTGCAAGACAACATCGGCACTTTGAAATATTTCCTTACCATTCTTCTCTCTAGTTCTGTTTTCTTCTATGGTGGCTTTATCCTCCTTTCTCTTCTTGACATCCAAGCCATCCTTAGAACTTGGCTTCGAAAACCTTTGCGGGCCATCCTTCTTCCGGTCCATCAATTCTTTTGCGATTCTTATACTAGCTTGAGCCTTCTCTAGTGCTATTCTCAAAGCAGCTGCAGAGGCAGCTGCTGCTGAATTTACATCTACTTCCTCATCAGAGTATGATGGTGAACAGTCACCAGGACCGGCTCTGGAAGCGTCACTTTTAGGAGCCTTAAATTTTGAATCCATCGACCTCTTTGGCTCACTCTTAGGCAGGCTTGAAGGTGATGACTTTTTAGAGGGATGTGTTTTGGGGCTGTTTTCATTCACACTGAATGACTTGTTGATTGAGTTGAATTTATCCCAAGAAGATTGAGTCTTAAATTTGCCTATATCATCAGAAGTTTGTTTCTTAGTGAGATTCACATCCACTTTTGGTGGGGATTTCACATCAACTTTTGTTGGGGGTACTGACTTATCTCCTTCTGTCTTTCGGTGAGGATGATTTTCATCAATAAAACAAGTAAATGCAGGAACAGCACGGAGTTGAGCTACATGTGTTGTCCCATTTGTCTCGTCATCACTCCTTTGGATGGTTTTATGGTAAGACATATTAAATTGTTTCATGCCCTCTGATGACTGATTAGGTGCTGCGTATTGAAAATTTTCCTCTCTGGAACGATTTAATTGATCTGATCCATCAGAAGGAGATGCTGCTTTTGCAGGAGTCCTGCCCACAAATAACAATGACAAATAGAAAAATCAGCTTTTAATCAATTTCAACTGTTTAAAAATTTAATCCAATGAGACAGATCTGATTATGCTATAGTTTAATCAAAAAGAAAATCTTCAAAACACTGCGAAAAAAAACCCCAAAATGAGCAAAGAAAAGTATTACATAATATAAATGGGAAAAAAGGGTCATTAGGAAACAACTATACAGATGAGTTTTCAATTCCTTCCCATCGTTGGTGATGTTTCTGAAGGAGCACCACTAATAAACCAAAATAATCAAATTAGACAAAGAGAATGCAAGCGTGATTCACAAGAAAGAAACCAATAATCAAACCAAATGAATCCTAACTAGTTAAAGAAGCAGATCATCTCTCGATTTGTCCCTCTCTCCACTCCTCTCTACAAACTTTAGTAATTATTAGGACTTAAATATTTTTCTGTAATTTATTACTGAGGGAAAAATATTGCCACCACATTCAAATCTTCAATCAGATTTTCCAAAGGCGGTGAAAGTGCCACTCGGCTAACACTGGTTTCTCCTATCCTACAACCTCCCTCCTCCAAACTTGGTCTGAAATCCCACCAACACCGCCAACTCTGCTCTCCTTTTTGACTTTTTATCACTTTAACTTTAGCGGTAACCAAACAATGATTCAAAATCCAAGTCAGATATACCTGCTAGTGTCTTTAATTGGCATTCTACACTATTAACTACCAATAAATTCGCATGTTCAATCCATCTCACTTCCAGTTTTTCTGGACCACGTGGTGTGATGTGGTTAATGTTTAAGATTCATTAGCAATTTGGCCTAATCTAGAAGCCGAATCTTAGGCAATTCATTTCAACTCAATTAGGCCAATTAACCGTTTTATGTATACTCGAGCACATGAATTGTCTTCCCAAGTCCAGCTGCACAAAGTAAATAATTATAAAATTCAAAACTTCAATTTATTTTATTTTCTTTTCTTTTGGTACAAATTCTCAACGATTACAAAACCAGAAGCTTCATACATCAACAACAACAACAGCGGCAGTAACATCGACACAGAGACAAATAGATGATCATATCAAAAGCACAAGCCACAATTCTTCGTATTTCAATGAATATTTGTCAAATTTCAAATTCCAATTCGAATAAACCGAAAAAAAAAAGAACTTACCTAGCTTCGTCGGAGAAACTTTTAGCTCCCTTCGGTGTTGCGAACATTTCTTCATACGATATAGCTATGTCTTCGCCACGCAAACCCCCGAAAATTTTCGAGTAATCGAGATTCGAGGTCCGAGCATCAGCCGAAACTCTGGCTTCGTCGAGAGCAGAAAGATCAAGAATCGGAATCGAAGAAGCACGCGAAGCTTGAGAGCCACCAAAAATCTCACTGTAGTCTTCAATTCGAGTCGATGAAGTCGCAGCCCCGAACTTCGACGCTCCATCGAATACGCCATCGTATGCGTTCTTTGCGGAGAAACTATTCACATTGGATAGTTTTTTTGAGAAAGTTGCAGAGGAGGCTTGGTTTCTGTGAAGAGGACGCGAGAGAGACTCCATTGATGAGAGCTCGCTCGGTTCTTCGGAGTCTAAACCTATCTAGGGTTTACGCGTCGTTTTTCCCTTCTTCTTCGTAGTTCTGGTGTTGTTTGTATGCTGAGAAAATCAACAGAATCAGACAACGAGGGAGTGAGAAATGATCGAAAATGAAATGCGAAATAATGCTCCTAGTGAGTCATTGAAAGAAAATGCGGTCTAAGTGTTAAGCGTAGAAGGCCTCGTTTGACATAACCTATATAACCCATTTTTTTATCTTTTTATCTTTTTTTTATCATATTATCTCTCTATTTTTTTACACATTTTTTCGTAAAAAGACAAAAAGTACACTTTTTTAGGACACCCCAAGCCAACCCTAAGATTAAAATTAATCGGCGATTTTTTAGCTAAAAAATCGGCCCATGATGAAACCGATTGACCGGTTCAAGTCGGTGAGATCGGAATCACAAGGGTAGAATTGGTATTCTGCAAAATAAAGGAATATTTGGAGAATTACACATTTTATTCCTAAAAAGATACAACCATTTTGAATAATAGTTTTAAGAAAAAAAATTAAGAAATGTTTTCAATACGTTGTAGAATAATATAAGAAATTTGTTGAAAATTTATTAAAAATGAAACTTACTAGTAGTATTGTAATTGATAATGAAAATTTTCTAATATTTAATATTAGGCTTTTTAGTAATCTTAATAATTTTTCCTAAACATATAATATTCAATTTTTTATTGCAGCGTTTTTTTTTTTTTTTCTAGGAACAATTTTAGACTCATTTCATATTTATATTTTGTTTGCTATTTATGAATTTTTGTATCATATAATAGTAATTATTCTCGTGATGGTATGTTTTAAGCAAAATCTAATTATCTATTTTTATTTAAATATAGAGTAAATTATATTTATAGTTTCTATAATTTATTTTTTTATGTCAATTTATTCATGGTTAAGAACGCTCCTTTATAAATTATATTAAAATAAATAATCAAAATAGTCTATTAACTTTTTTAAAGAAATTGAGGAATTGACGTCAACTTTTCATTTAAATGCACCATTTTGTGTTGATTTTTGTCAAATTTGTAAATAAATATTAACAGTTGGAATGCAAGGACAAATTTTAATGCAAAATATAAATTACAAAACTACTAGTGTAATTATGTTACATAAATCAATTAGTATATTAACTAGTGTATCAGCACTAGTTATACATTATTATTATGACATTATTATTAACCTTACTTATTATACAAATTACAAATACTAAAAACATCTTAAATTATATTACATTATTAATTAATACACTAGTTAATTCACTAATTAATGGATATAACATTAGTCAATTTTGAAATGCAATGAAAGGATCACAACTAAAATGCAATTACTGTGTAATAAATGTTAATATTCATAATTCTCTGCTTCGGATTTTGGGAATCAAAACCAAATTCAATGCTTTCTTTCAACTTTTCTATAAAGATCTAATATCATTTTGAGAAGTGAGTTATAATCTGCTTTTCAGATTATAATCTGCTTCCTCTCTCACAAAAAAGTTACTTATAAACTGTTTATAAGCAGCTTTTTACCAAAAAATTGATTATAACCATCTTTCCAAAATAGTTCATAATATAACTAGGTCTCATCTTCTTTCTTTTTTTTTCTTCTTCTTTTTTCCCTTGCATTTCTGTGTCCACAAAATCCTCATTAATTATTTTTTATTCTTTCTCATGGAAAAAAAGTAAAATGTCTGGGATCCCTAGTGGGCGGTGATTGGTCAATTTTTTTTTTTTTTCCTTTTCAATCACTAACCCCACGTATGTATTGTTTGGGACCCCCCAGTGGGCAGTGATAATTATATTTTATATGGTCCTATATTGTTTTATGATATTATGATTAATAAAAATATGGGATATTATAATTTTTTATTAAATAATTAAAAAATATAAAAGGTCCTGATAAATAATAATTAACTAACAATTTTTGGTATGATAGACAATGTGATTAATATACTTGTCCTTTTTCGTACTGATTGGGAATGGGTACAATGACATTTGAATCTTGACCAGTGACACTTTTTTAAATAATTACATTTTTATGAAAAAAAAATTACATTTTAATTATTAAAATTTGTAAATTTTTCCACTCATTTTAAAAGAAATTTCAAAGTTCCTCCAAATTGTTATTTGGAGATTTGGTCAAAATTTTCTCATAATAAAACTTTAATATATTAAGGATAAGTATAAAAAAAATTTATTGAAAAGTCCAGTACATACAATCCATTATTATCAAAATAAACTTTAAAATAATATAATTTTTGATGTAGATATCGATTTTTAATAAAATTAGTATTTTTTAAATTCTCTCATCAAGATCTATCAAATAAGATTTATGTTAACTATGAAATTCTTTAAAAAAAATGTTATTATCGTTAAAATTGATGTAAACAGTAAGTTCCTCCAAATTGTTATTTGGAGATTTGGTCAAAATTTCCTCATAATAAAACTTTAATATATTAAGGATAAGTATAAAAAAAAATTATTGAAAAGTCCAGTACATACAATCCATTATTATCAAAATAAACTTTAAAATAATATAATTTTTGATGTAGATATCGGTTTTTAATAAAATTAGTATTTTTTAAATTCTCTCATCAAGATCTATCAAATAAGATTTATGTTAACTATGAAATTCTTTAAAAAAAATGTTATTATCGTTAAAATTGATGTAAACAGTAACATTAATATATTATTCTGCTTGACAGTATCATATTTTTTTAGTTCACAGTAACATGTTACTCTGACAATATTATCTAATATATATATTTATATATATATTTTACTTTGTCTTTACTCAATTATGAGTTTTCTTCCTAGGGGGTTTACGAAGTAAAATAAATTGGGTTGTCATTTTCATTAAATAAGGATTCAATTGAGGGATTTTGACTAAATTTCCCTTACTATTTTCCCAAAAGAATATTAGCTATTTTTTTAAACATTAATGTTACAATGATCATATTTTATACATATTTAATTTACCACACAGTAAATGGTATTACAAAATGACGGAAACGCTAGACTTATTAAACTAATGTAAGGGTGAGTTGGCTTTTTGGATTTTTAATTATTTTAAGCCTTATTTGACAACATTTAGTTTTGGTTAAAAAGTCATTATAAATTGTCACATTATTCTCTTTATTTTTTTGTATATTTTTTTTGTAAAAAATCAAAAAATTATTAAAATAGCATGTTCCTAAACGAAGCCAGTCTGAGGCTAAAAAGTTTCCTTTGTGATGAATTTTTTTGACTTTTTTGAAAGAAATAATAAAATGATTATGGTTTAGATATGATGTTTTGTCTTATTAGACTAAAAATTTTATTTTGTCTTTTTATAACTAAAATAGTCCTAACTTAACCCAAACATTTATGCCAAACATAGCCATAATAAATTAAATGTGGTATAAAAATATAATTATAATATCAACTCCGATTGGTAGCTCGTAAAAGGCGTGGCTCGAATGGCCCGACACCAAAACGACGTCGTTTTGGTGTTTTTTTTTTTTCTTGTTTTTTTTTTATGAAGAAGAAGAAGATAAGAAGAAGAAGAAGGGTCTGCTGCGCTGCTAGGTTTCATCAACATCAAAAAAAAAAAAAATTGTTGATCAACATCAACAAATTTTTTTCTGAACAAATTTTTTTTTGTTCATCAACATCAACAAGATCTGGATTTGCAGATCCAGATCAATATCATCAACATCTTCATCAACAAATTGCTACAACATCATCATCATCTTCATCAAAAAAAAATTCCCTGAGTCTGCAGATCTAGATCAACATCATCAACATCTTCATCAACAAATTGCAACAACATCATCATCATCTTCATCAAAAAAAAAAAAAAAAAAAAATCTCTTTCATCCTCAAATCTAGATCTACTGGAAAGGGGGAAAAAAAATAAAAATTAGAAAAAACAGCGGGCGCCGATCTTCCTTCTCCTCTTCTCTCTTCCCCTTCTCTTCTCTCTTCTCTCTCTCTCTCTCTCCCCCCTCGTCTCTTCCCTCTGTATTTGAACGCACAGAGAAAGAAAGAAAAGGAAAAAAAAAATTTACTTGTTTTGGATATACGGGCCAATTTTAAGCAACGAATCATTTTTCTTATAATATTATTGATTTTTAAGATTTGGAATACAAAAAGTAATGAAAAAATTATAAATCAGTGGTGGCTTTTCAAAATATTTACAAATGTATGAAAAAATTTATAATTTTAATTATTAAATTAAAATTAATAAAATTTACCACCAATTTAAATTTCTCTTTAAAAAACATACACTGAATTGCGATTTATTAAAAAATAATCAAATGATTGTAGTTTCGAATGTCATGCATTAATGTGCATTAACACAGGCCAGCTCAGGCTCCTCGCAGAACTGACTCAACTTGTTGAAAGCAACAGGTCATTCATTACAAATAACAAAAATATTATATAAATCCGGTCCCATACTTGAGATTAAGATTGGATTATTCGTTTGGTTTATGAATTTATTTTTGAGCTCTATTTTAATAATTTGAATCATTTAATGTGTAAAATTTGTCGAATAGCATATCCCTGTACAATATCGTATTGATCGGATATAGATAAATATTTAATTGGATCAAATTTGTATAAAAAAATAGACATTAAAAAAATAAACAGTTGACAGAAATCTAATTCGATCAAAAAACTATCGATATTTAATCAACGTGATTTTTTACAGGGATATAGTACTCGACAAGTTTTACACATTAAACGATTCGGATTATCGAAATGAAATCAAAAAATGAACCCATGAGCCAGACGGTACGGTCCAGTCTTGAACTCAAACATGAGACAAGCTGGACCCTATATAAACATACACATTTTATAAATTATTATTATTTATAAACGTTATATGTAATATTAAAATTTTAATATTAATAACAAGAAGTACTAAAATAATGTAATTTGAGCAACCGGAGGCTTATATGTGGAAATAAATAAATAAACTTTTGAGATTTTGTAAATTTGTTACCATTAATTACTATTCAAATACCAATGTGAAAAAATATCCAATAATCATTCACAAACAGATTTCATAAGCAATGAATGAAAACCGCTGGTGAACTATTTCAAGAGTTGACAGTAGAATTTTGAGAATAAGATTTAAAATTTTTAGTTTGAGTCA